AAATCTTCGAAAGCGCTTGTTGTCAATATGAGCACGCCTAGCAGATGGGTAGATCATCTGGAACTCTGCCTTACATGCCTGGGTTAGGCTGATTACAGTTTAGTAAAGGCATGTAGTGCAGAGGACTGTAGCCTCCCCGTCACACACCGATGCCAAGCACGGGAGTGAAGGGAAGCGTCCTCATCTCCCAGCTTTAGCGAGGAATTTAGCCGCTTGGGGAGCTTTCACGCTGTTCCGATGTATGCCTCGCGTTTTCTCCTGGGTCTTGAGGAGTTTAGGCTTGCCTTGCATGGCCATAGATCGTGGCTGCCTGTCAAGACTTTCGCTTCGTCTTTTGCATAGGTTGGACATTGATTGGATGAAGCTTGAGCGGCATTGGCAGGAAAAATCTATGGATCGGCACCCTAACGTCGCCTTAGTCCAGTGGCTCACGGTGTTTTGAGATATGTCTCTAGTCCCTCCATTGAGCCCAAAACAGTGACAGAGCGCCTAGCAGTCGAAGTGCTGCATGCCCAAGGCCCATTCCGGGAGCACCCCTCGCAACACCACGCCATGAGGTCAGAATCCGAACCATACACAGGGCACGGCACGCCAAACACGTACGAAATTGTGGCCGGAGCACGAGTCTCTGTGGAGTACGACTTTTGGAGTCGGCGGTACGAGTCGGAATGCGGCACTGTGGCGAGAGCATGATTTTTGGCATCGGAAATGCTGGGAAGAGGATGCCCACTCCAAAACAGGTTTTGGCCAAAGTCTGAAACCCCTTAGAACAATAGGATGTCGAGCTCGGGACAGTGGCGGGTGCACGTTGAATCACATGTGCCTCCTCCCACCCGTTGGAGTTTATTGTAGTTTTCTTACATTATACACATGAGCACAGCACTCGCTTCATGAAGCCTGGAGTCGGCCGAGTTCGGGGTCCGGCTATGTCCGCAGCGAAATACTTCTTGCGGCCCTGGAAGAGGAGACTTTACTGCAGCAAGGCTGCTTGCAGCACCGATGAGGTCTCGTATTTACATAGTAACTTGAGGTGTAGGACACTAGATCACAAGATCTGATAGCCACTAGCACGTTTTCGTTGTACTCGCCATGCAGATTCATGGACAAGACTTGGCTATAAAGATAATCGTTTGGACGTGGAGCCCGATGATACGATTGAGACGATCAAGGTGCAAATTCATGTCAAGCTGGGTGTCTTGGCGTTTGAGAGTCACGCTTTTCATGACTGCTCGATCACGCAACCTGCCCGGCAGAATTATCACCCAAATAGTAAACCCGAAATCTTAAATTGTAAACCGTAAGCCGTACACACTAAACTGTTCGAAACTTCTCCCTTGGGCCTGCGCTATAACCCCCAACCGTACATGCATTCTAGCCCATGCAGCCCTTGGGCGATTCGACCTAGACTAGCGATGATGTGGTGATGTCCTCGGTTCTCATGTGACAAAGTTCAAAAGACACACAATTCAACAAAGACGGAGTTCCACAAAGATTTGCATGTCGCCCTTCATGCCAGAGACCATATGGAGAGTGGGTCCGTTCTGGATGCTGATTTCTGCTAAAGTTCCAGCAGTCCAAGGGCTGCCTTCAAAGATGAATCTGTACTGGGTCACGCTCAGTTCTTTTGCAACTTTGCCGGAGCTTTGAACACTGACCACCTACCCCCCCATATCCTAAGCTCAAAGCCCCTAACCGGGCGGAGGTCCATGTTGTCAAGAGTTCTTCCCCTTGACAGACCATAAGACTTAGGAGGCCCTGACATGCAAGAGAATTGCACTGGACGTGTCGCCGAGTGACACGGTCGCAAGCATCAATGCCAAGCGGCAAGAAACAGAGGGTACCTAGCATGACTTGAGCAGTCTTTGAGAGTTTCCGTATCAACCTGGGGTACTTTAAGGAAGGGGAGTCTGAACTAGTGACCGTCGTTGATCGCAGTTCTTATCCTGAACAGAACCAAGCGTGAGTAGTATCCCGATGGGGATTTAAGACATGGGGACATAGGGTTTGTGGATGAGAAAGCATGCCAAACCCTAAACCTCAAGCCGCCCAAACTGTCTTTTCGCATGCCCCTCTTACACACTCAATCCTTCATCGGAACCCCGGTAGCCTGCAAGAGCGTAATCCTTGTGTAACTTTTGGGGAAGGCCCTTCCAGCATTATGTTGTGCAAATCGGGATGGAGCAAGCAGCCCTACACTCCACACCGCAAACCCCTGACCCGTGGCTGCGTAACAGCGTAGCACTCTCTGGTCGTTGCTACGGGGTAGGCATTGGAAAACTATCAGCCGTTTGCCGTCGATCTCGGAGCCTGAGTTCGTCGTACAAGGATCGAGAAACCGCCACCCCATATTGAGGATCCGAGATGGCATCAGTCTTCGAATTCCCAACCCCGAAGTGAGGCTTTGCCTAAACACACCTCCGAAGCCCTCAGACTCAATCCAAATTCCCACCGTAAGCCGCAAGCATTAAATCTCAATGCCACGCTGCAACCCAATCCTGCATCCCAAACATCAAACTCTGAACCAAAAAATGCAAGTGTCCTGGCTCCAGAGATCTTTGCCGTTCTTGGAAACCCTAGGCTGCCCAGCGAATCGGCAGAGGTTGGTTTTCCAAGGCAAGCAGCTGAAGGACGATTGCAACCAGGCAGACTAAAAAATAGAGAGCCTGGATCATGTTACGGAATCTTTTTCAGTTTAGGGTATACGATTTTGGTGTTTTGGGCCAGGTTGATGGTTTCGTTTTGTGGAGTATTGGGTTTCGTTTTATTGCGATCCTGTATCAGAGTTCAATAATTGGTACTAGGCCTTGGAACATAAGCCCTTAAACTCACCCAGTTTCGGAAATCCTTAGGTTCTGTTGGTTTGCTGTAGCTCTAGAGTTCAGTTCAGGGTTTGGGGTGTGGCGTCCAAGGATTGTGTGTTTTGGGGTTTAACGTTTCGGAGAGTGGGCTTAGGGTTTATTATGATTATCGAAGCTCATAGCATTCCATGACTCCATGCCCACGAGCCCGAACCATGTCCACGCTCAAGAACTTCCGCACATATTTTCGACGTTGCATCCCGGAGTGTAACTGCCGTCGCAAAAACGGATAGCCTACCATCAGTAGTCTGCTACAAGGTCCGATTTGCGATTCTTGCACCTGCCTTAGCCGAAGCCTTCAGCTTAAATGTTATCAGGAAACCCTGCGTTCAGGGTTCGGGGTGGAGGAGCTACCCAAGACACCAGACCCTCAGCCTCCAGAGAGCCCAAGGAGTGATGCTTTGGTGACATTGATTACCAGTCCATCCTTCTAGAGTTTAGAGGTTGTAAGGAGTCGCGGGATTGAATGCTGCACCCCTACTTTTAGGGTGCAGGGTGCGTAGGGTAAAAGGGTTTGGGGTCAGGCTTGAGGTTTCGATTTAGGATTAGCCCCTCAGCCCCAGGTTGAACGTTTCAGACTTTTGTTGTGCAAACTGTTGTTTGTTGGACTCCTCCAACTCCTGCGGAGAGGGCTTTTCACGTTCCCCAGACTCGTTGGAAACAGGCTGCTCTCGCAGACCTTCTGCTACATCCTAAAACTGCCAAGCCCGAAGTGCAATTCATTAACTGAGACCCGGTTTATCTCCTGGTACCCGACTGCGGCCACCACCAACACGACAGTTTGCAAAAGGCGGCTTGCATTTTACGTGGACCAACTGAAATTGCATCGTGCACTTTGGGGGTA